ACTATTTAAAATTAAAACGGAACAGTAGAGAAAATCCTATCAGAATGACAAAATAAACCAAGTATCCACTGGAAAGAATCCCAATATCTGCAGACGGATCCGTTTCGGCCTTCCAGGCCTCATCAGTGCAGCTGGGGTATAGACCCAAACGAAACGTTTGACCAGCCAGTCCCACGACCACTAAAGATTACAGAGCCAAACCAAGGCAATATATATATATATACAGCCCAGGTGTGAGATTGCATCTTTAGATCTCCGATCTTGTTCACAAATTCGCGGACTAGTGCTGTCTCGTAAGAATTTAGTAGGACGCGTAAAGAATGACAAAATATTCTCTGTATCTACTGGAACCGAGCCACATAGCTTGTATTCCACTATTTGCATTCACAACATTTAAATAATAAATGTAAAAGAGGATTGTATTTAACATGTATTATGTTTTTATATTTATTAATATACAGTAAGACCTCAGAGTATTCAACATGGAGTCAGCGGGCCGTTTAGTCGAGGGAGTCTATCATACCTGGTCAACAACAGATGATCTTTTAGAAGGAACTCGAAAGATGGTAATCAGAGAAGATGATTTATGGATCGTCACATTACCGAAAGCTGGTACGAACCCAAATGTTTTGGGCAAGATCTTTGATTGATAATATCGGTAACTGATTATTAGACCTATCATGGAGGAATAATTAAGAGTTTCGTACGCATTTCTTACAGCATTATTGTTTTTTTTTATCTTCGATATGACCTATAGTTTTGCATATTAAAACAGCCAATACGATTTCTTCAAATGTCACTTAAGAACGCTAATATTTGATTTTTACTTTAAAACACTAAAACTAATTGTCATTAATACGTTTAAACATATCACTTCCATTATCTATATAAGTAAGGGATTTGTAATACAATTTTTTTCTACATAAATGTGGCTGAAATAAAAATTTTAGTTTGTGACCACTAGAGGGCGCTGTTAATTAAATTTTTGCAGAATTGTTGATGTTTATACACCTAATTTATTCGTCATTAATACTTATATTACTGTGACTACTTCAAACTATATAAATGAAGAACTAAGATGGATTTAAAGTATTTTAAATTAAAAATGTCTAAAAATAGAAATTTACCATTTGTGGCCGATAGAGGGCGCCGTTGACGTGCGTTCCTACTTTAAAATATTGGCTAGTTCATGTGTGCCAAGTTTCAAGCTTTTATCGCATCGATTGAGCTAAATTTAACCTAAACTGCTGGACTACAATAGGCATAGGCCTACATAAAGTAATTATGTATGCCTATTAGTATTATAGTCATAATTATATTAATAAATGGGTAATATAATAATTATAACATATAACAATATAGGGCCTCTGAAACTTTACTTACCACTTGTTAATTCCTTTTTTCAGGAACGACATGGACACAAGAAGTGATTTCACTATTATTGAATGACTGCAATGCAGAGTTGGCTGATGTAAAACCGATAAGTCAACGATTTCTATTCGTAGATTTTGAAAAGAATTCTATTCCACCGTACAAAATTGCAGCAGAGCTTGCGTCACCAAGACTTATGAAAACCCATTTTCAATCACATCAGATGCCAGAGGAATTACTTACAAAACGTTCAAAGTTATGTACTGATGTTGATAGGTGAAGGTTAAATACTGTATTAATTCGAATAACGTCGGGGACGTTCAAGGTGTTAAGGGGCCGGGGAGATTATGGGGAGTAACAATATTTTTGTTTTTGGGATGGGATATAGACCTATGTCTATCTATGATGACTTCATTAGCATTGATATAATATGTGATCTAATGCATTGTGCCATATTTCTCCCTCTGAACGCAGACCTACATTTTAGTGACTTGATATACATAATTGTTTTATGGTCTACACTTATGAATGCTTTATATATGTTATAAACAGATTGTGTACGTTGGACGGAACCCGAAGGACAATGCTGTGTCGCTGTTCCACTTCCATAGAGCGGTAGATGATCTGCAGCAATTCGAGGACTGGAACGAGTTTTACGATGCATTTGTAGCGGGTCATGGTTAGTTTTTGTGTCTATGACACCATGGAGGTATAAAATGACACTATGTTGTCGTCAGGCAGTTAAAGATGGCTGAAAGGGTAAATCTGGTAGAGGTGCATTATGGGTCATGTGTTGTATTAAGTACTGTATTACTGCTGTCTCTTATACACATCTAGATGTGTATAAGAGACAGGACACATAACTATCAAAAAAGCATTTTTTGATAGTTATGTGTCCACATGGATAAACCTTTATAATCCGGTCCACGGATAGACCTTTATAATCCGGTCTAATTATACATATCATTTACAACTTATCTTAGTCACTGCTATATTTTTTATCCCCTATTGCTAGATTTTAAAGCTTTTTTAATCATACGTGTTATCGCTGAGGAAGAGCACAGGCGTGCTCGAAATATTCGAAATAAAAAATTATCTTATGTCTATTATGTCAACGTATATATAT